TCGAGGTACTGAGCCATTTGTCTCTGGAAACTGGGCCATTGAAGAGATAGACTTTTTGTTGTAAATCAGCAGGACATTTGCAAACCAAGGGAGACTCCTGTCTTGGAGGACTGTGATCTCTGCAAGTTAACCATTTGTTTTCTTTAACATCCGGTCCCTGTGGCGCCATCACCTAACCGCCCTGGTCGTATATGATTAAGTTGTTTCTTAGGTTTTAGCTACTTTCTCTTATCTCAAATTATGTGTGCCGTGTGGGCTGGTTAGGGACGCTCAGTGAAATGGCTTCCCGGCCTTCAGGATGGCCATTCTTATGCTAACCCACTCTTACAGTGCAAGGTGCCGGCTTTTGCTTTACCAACATGGCTGTACTTATGTCAGGGCTAGACTCGAGGTGGGTACAGCCTTGTTTTTCTTGGCCTCCTCACCTGGAGCTGGTTTCCAGGACTTGTTTTTAAGTCCCCTGAGGGAAGGGGAGCAGGGACAGTTTAAGGGTTAAACAACAAAGTTATTGTTTAACCTCAATGGAAGCCTCTGGCTAAAAGAAAAATATAAAATAGGTCCTTACAAAGTTACCCTTTTATAAGAGAAATTTGCATTTATAAAGAAAAATCTCCGTCTTTAACTATCTCCCTCTCTATACTAGGAAAAAAAGGGCAACTCTAAATCACAAGAGAATCACAACAAAACAAAGAACAACCGAGACACCGACACAAATCTGTATAGAAAACCATACCTTTACTTTTTACTGTGCTTTTTCTAATAACCTCCTACAGTTTGATCCCTTCCCAACCCCTCCCCCCAACATCTTTCTTTTGTCTTTAGCTGAAGTTGGTATTTAAGGTGGTGGCTAGGGCCATCTCAGGGAGTTTACTCATTTTCCCCGGGGTATCTCTCATGTATGCATGAAGTATACATATTGATAAACTGTTTTTCTCTGGTTAATCTAATCTTTTATTATGGGGGGGGGGTCTCAGCCAAGAACTCAGAAGGATAGAAGGAAAATTACTTTTCCTTCCCTACAGTTTCTACAGTGTTCTGGCAAGGGATCACTAAATACTTGGAGAATCCACAGTTTCTCTTTATAGCATAATAAACTCACAGGCATTGATTATTCCTACTATTCAAAGTCATAATCCTAAATACTCTGTTTTCTTCAGAAAAAGGTGCCTGAGCAGACTTGGAGTAATGTAATACTGCCATCTAGCATCAAAATTTCAAAATTACCTAAAAATATACTGTATGGTTTACTGGAGGGAAAAATGTCATCCTATTTATGTATAATAATAAATTTCTATAGAAGGATGACACAAATGCGGTCAGAAAACAGATATGTATGTATGTTTGATAACATGTTCATAATCAGTAAAAATGCCAAAATAATTTAAAAACACCAACCACCAACCAAAATGAAATTGGGAAGTATAAGTTCCCAATTTAATTTTTCTTTTTAAAATTGTATTTGTTGCTCTGGGTCTCTTGAATTCCCATATACATATTAGTATCATCTTGTTAATTTCTAAAAAAAAGAGAGAGAGAGAGACAACTGGGATTCTGGGAGAGATTGCATTGAATCTGCAATCAATTTAGAGAGTATTGTCATGTTAGTACTATATTCTGATTTATGAACACAGACAGATGTCTTTCCACTTACTTATATCTTGAATTTCTTTCAACATTGTTTTGTAGTTTTCAGACTAAGTTTTTCACTTTTGTTAAATTTATCCCTAAGTATTTTATTATTTTTGATGGTAATATAAATGAAATTCTTAATTTAATTTTTGGATTGGTCATTGCTAGTGTATACAAATATATTTGATTTTTGTATATTGATCCTGTACTGTGCAACCTTGCTGAACTCATTTATTAGTTTTAATTTTTTAGTGGATCCCTTAAGACGTTCTGTAATTATACAGGACATTCTATATGAATTACATAATGTACAAATAAAAATAGGTTTACTTCTTTCCTTCCGACATGAATACCTTTTATTTCTTTGCCTTCCGAAATTTCCTTGGCTGAAACCTTCAATGCAATGCTGAATAGAAGGGGGGGTGGGAAGAATAGGGAGACCTGGGTGGCTCAGCCAGTTAAGTAGCTGCCTTCAACTCAGGTCATGATCCCAGGGTCCTGGGGTCTGGCTCCCTGCTCAACGGGAAATCTGCTTCTCCATCTCCCTCTGCCCCTACCCACCCTGCTTGTGTGTGTGTGCATGCATGTTCTCTAATAAATAAATAATCTTGAAGAAGAAGGAGAAGAAGAAGAAGAAGGAGAAGAAGAAGAAGAAGAAAGAAGAAGAAGAAGAAGGAGGAGGAGGAGGAGGAGGAGGAGGAGGGGAAGGAGGGGAAGAAGAAGAAGAGGAGGAAGAAGAAGAAGAAAGGGCAGATATCCTTGCCTGTTTCTCATCTTAGGAGGAAAACATTAGTCTTTCATCATTAAATATGAACTTTAGTTCTTTCATATAAGGTTGAAGAAGTTCCCTTCTATTCCTAGTTTGTTGAATGTTTTTACACGAGTATTGTCAAATGCTTTTTCTGTGTCGATTGAGATGATCATGTGTTTTTTTGTCCTTTATTCTAATGATACGGTATATGTCATAGGCAGACTAGTACCCCCAACCAAAGATGTCCACATTTTAATGCCCAGAACCTGAGTATGTTACATTCCACAAGGCTGCAAATGGAACTAAAGTTGCTGATCAGTGGACTTTAAAATAGGGAGATTATCCTGATTATCCAGGTGGGCCCGGTAATCATAAGGGTCTTTATAAGGGAAGGAGGCAGGGGGAAGGAGAATCGAAGAGTTGGCAGCATGAGAAGGACTCTGTCCACTGTTACTCATTTTGAATATGGAGGCATGCAAGGAATGTGGTGGCCCCTAGAAGCTGGAAAAGTCAAGGAGGTGAATTATCTCCCTTGAGCCTCCAAAAAGAAGTGCTGATCCAGATTAGCCCAATGAGGTCTAATTTGGAATTCTGACCTCCAAATTATACAATAATAAATTTGTGTTGCTTTAAGTCACTAAGATTGTAGTAATTTATTACAGTAGCAATAGGAAACTAATAAAGTATATTACATTGATTGATTTTTCAGATGTTAAACCAAACTTTCATTCCTGGGATAAATCCCAGTTGATCATGGCACACAAGTTTTTTTAATATATTGCTAGATTTGATTTGCTAGTGTATTGTTGAGGATTTTTGAGTATATATTCATTAGAGATGTTGGTCTATAGTTTTGTATATGTGTGGTGTCTTAATTTGGCTTTAGCATCAGGGTAATACTGGTCTCATAGAATGAGTTGGGAAGTACTCTCCGTATCTGCTATTAGTAAAGCCACTCCAGCTTTGTTATAGTTACTGTTTTCATGATATAACTTTGTCCATGCTTTTACTTTCAATGTATTTGAAACCTGTCTTTAATCTAGATTTCCTATATAATGGATTTCCTTTATAATAAATGATATTTTTATGGCAATAAAACTGCACTTTTTCTCTTATGAGCTGCTATTTTTGAAAAATTAGCTGCTGATGTAAACTTTTGTTTTTTTAAGTTTAATTCCTTTTCATTTTCATATACTCTGGTTCTCTATTTTGCACTAAGTCTTGGTATTTGGGCTTCTTTTTGGTTTGTTTAAAAGAAAATTTAGAGAGTGCCTGGGTGGCTCAGTCATTTAAGCATCTGCCCTCAGCTCAGGTCATGATTCTAGGGTCCTGGGATCAGAGCTGCACATCAGGCTCCCTGCTCAGTGGGGAGTCTGCTTCTCCCTCTGCTCCTCCCCTGCTTGTGTTCACTCTCCCTCTCTCAAATGAATAAATATTTAAATATTTAAATAATTAAAAAATAAAATTTAGAAACTGTATGTTGGACCCACTTTTTTTTTTTTTTTTTCTATTGGTTTGTGAAATCTATAACTCTAACAACCACTAAACTAGAAAATTTCCAAGACTAGTTTGGAGTGCTGTTGTATACACAACATAGGCTGTTTCTATTAAACAAGTTTAGTAAACTTATGAATAATTTTTAAAGTAGTAACATTTTATCAGTATTTTTGCTTTAACTCGTATTTTTTTAAACTTTTAAAAAAATTTTTATTTGTTTATTTGACAGACAGAGTTCACAAGTAGGCAGAGAGGCAGGCAGAGAAGGCGGGAGGGGGGGGGGAAGCAGGCTCCCCGCTGAGCAGAGAGCCCGATGTGGGGCTTGTTGTGGGGCTTGATCTCAGGACCCTGGGATCATGACCTGAGCTGAAGGCGGAGGCTTTAACCCACTGAGCCACCCAGGCCCCTTTAACTCGTATTTTTTAAAAGATATTATAAAATTGACTTTGCAAAAGAAATGTAAACCATATTAAAATCACTACTATACATTGAGAATTGAGAATAATTGAGAACCATCTAAAAGTCCAATAATATGGATTGGTTAAATTATAATGAATTCATGTTTTACTTATCTATTAAAAATCATGCTTTATAATAGTATTGTGTGACATGGAAAATGTTTACCTCTAGGTCAAGTTGTCCTATTCTAGTAATTGCTCCCTCCCCTAGCCATTTTGGGTATGTTGCTGCTTCCCAAATTGTCTTATCACATCTATTGGCTTTCTCTAATCCTGCTCACTCCTTTGCACCCAGTTGCTTTGTTAATCCCTGCTCAAGCACACCATGTTAGTGTGTCTGTTGCCTGCCAGGACCATGAGAAAATTTATACACAGGTTAATGGTGACATTATAGCTTTAATCTCTGGCTGGTGAAATTAAGACAAAATTACAGAGAAAATGATGAATGCCTAATTTCAAGTATTATTATGATATGTGCACTGCAGCTGATAATGAGGGTTACCACTAATTAAATGTTTTGTTATTGTTATTTATATATCATCCCCTTTAATCTTTTCAATAACCCTATGAGGTATCATAGTTATCATCCCTAGTTTATACATGAGGACAAATTAAATATCTTTGATTATTGTGAATTAATATATTGTCATTGTTTTCTTTTGTAGATCATTCACGAGAAGTCCTGGAGCAATTAGTAGGCCCAAACAAACTAAAGCAAGTGACATGGACTGTTTATTGATGCTTATTGAAGCTTTTCAAAGCAAGGATCTTTATACTACATTCCCAGGAAACAATGGTCTTAGAGATTGGCTTTCAGATAATGTGCTTTTTGCTTTGAAGTTAACAGACCCTTAAACATTTAATAGTGCTATTATCGTGTTTGTTTGCAGAGTCATTTGTTTTTGACATGGTAAGCCTAGCATGCCCTCTGATGTATTGGGGTGGGGGGGGGGGCGGGAGGGGAATATTGTGTTTGTTTCTTAAATAACAAAGTTTTAAATTACCAGTTTTTCCTGGAGATTTCCTTCTCCTACCTACCTAGTTGAGCTGCCATAAGAGAAATTTACCAGTATGAATAACTACTAGGAGAATTCTTAGTATCTCTAAAAGCGTAATTACCTTCCTACTTATTTTCTGGCTCCTACTTTCCTTAAGTATTTAAATGCTCATTGGCCAAAAAGCAAAGCTGAACATCAGGCCTATATATCCTCACAGAATTTAATATTTCAATAAAACAAAGAAATAGAATAGTTTACTGTCATAAACCCATGACATCATCCAACTCAGCCATTCAGAATATAAATGTTACTGAGACCCTTGCCCAGCCACTTCATTAATTGTCATGGCTACTTTTCCCAAATACATGCTATTGATCTATGAAACTTCCTCCTTAACAACTGCATTCAGGAAAGCGGAAGAATGAGTAAATAGAAAGTATCAATATAGAGGCTGTTTCCTAAAGATCTGTCAGTTTCATATCCTGAACTAAACAACACAGATCTTAGTTTTCAAATGAATTGCATTACTCTTTTATAATCATGAAATTCTCTGAAGTATATATAGTGTGCTTAAACCATCCCAAATTTAGTATATTCCCTGTGCCATGAGACTGTCTCAGTAGGACTTTTTTTTAAAAGATTTCCTACTTTAACTCCGATGTAGTAAAAAAGAAGGGAAGTATGGGATGGTAGATTTCTTCTACATGTTTAGAAGAGGGTTTATACAGTCAACTCTATTTCTTGACCTTACTACTAATTACTTTATAAATGCGGTATATATATATAATATATATTGCCCCTCATAGGTAGGACATATGTATATATGTGTACAATGGGTAAAGCTTGTTCCACCTATGAAATTTTTCTAAAGACAAATTCAATAAAATGTAATAGTAAACATCAAGCAAAGTTGGTAGCTTTTCCCCCTTTTGGGGAAACAAGTTTTTCAAGATCTAAAGTGTCAGCTTTTTAGGGTCTATAAGGAATTATCTTCCTAGAAGCACTTTGTAGTTTAATAGTCTTGCCTTTTTTATATTGCTGGTTGTATTAACTATTTCTGTTTAAAATTTCAGTACCCCATTCCTACCTATTTCTATCATCCTCACTTCATACTTCGACCTCTTTATTTTTCTCCTTACCATCTATCACCCTCTGGCATCTTGTCTATTTTTTATTATCTACTCCCTAGAATATAAGCTTCATAAAGACAGGAACTTTTGTCTTTTCTTCCCAGTGCCTAGAACAGTATCTGGTACATAATAAGCACCCAATATTTGTTAAATGAATAAACACACAAAAAAATGAATAAATAAAGGAGAAAAATGAATAAATAAAAATAATACCCATACTTCCAGTTTCCACTTTGATGTTATTAAGTGATTAGGAGTCCTCACTCCTGTCCCTCTAAGATAAAAGCTGAACAAACTGAAAATCATGAAGTAGTACAGTATTACGTGAATGTGGACTTGGACTAGATATGTGTATACTAGGGCAACCACTAAACACAAATTTTTAAATATGTATAATTTATATCCGAGAGGAGAGAAAATAGAATCATATAAAATTCTCAATTAAAACCAGAGAAGGCAGGAAAAGAGTGGAACACCAAAAAAGAAACAAGGAACTAGGGCAACAAATAGAAAACAGTTATAAATATGGGTAGAAATTAATCCAGCTATATCAATAACCCCTTTAAATGTGAATGGTCTTAATACAAACCTCTTTGTTAAACTATTGTTGTGGAAAATCTGAAGCAGCCGAGGAAACTCAAGCAGCACGCAGCAAAGCAGGAAGACTTAGCTTTATTATAGCGGGCAGGCCCAGCGGGATCATTTCCCAAAGGCTGAGCACCCAATAGGGTTAGGAGTGACTTTTTATGGTTACAGGTGATGGGGGATGGCAACAGGACGTTTTCACAGTCTCTCAAGGCCAAATGGCCCCTTCAAGCGGAAGTATAATCTATGCGGAGGCATCTCAGGAGAATGCTAAATCACCCCTGGGGACTTGTTTCTTTTTTTCTTAATCAAACAGGACCCGCCTCTGGTCTTTTTCTTCTGCCTCAGCAAAGCAATGAGTTGTTATCTTAACAAAATGGGATGGCCATTTGGTCTTTTCTTCTGCCCCAGCAGGAGCAATGGGGAGTAGGTGGGGGGCAGGGGCTAGGGCCCCGGGAGTCTCTATCCCATCACTATGAAGTCATTCAAGGCTCATCATTATATACAGGGTAGATTTTAAAATATCTTAAGTAACAGGCACCTGGGTGGCTCAGTCGTTAATCAGCTGCCTTCAGCTCAGGTCAAGATCCCCAGGGTCCTGGGATCAAGGCCTGCATCGGGCTCCCTGCTCAGTGGGAAATCTGCTTCTCCCTCTCCCACTCCCCTTGCTTGTGTTCCCCCTCTCTCTCTGTGTCTCTCCCTGTCAAATAAATAAATAAAATCTTTTTAAAAACAAAACAAAACAAAATAAAATAAAAAAATAAAATAAAATAAAATAAAATAAAATATCTTAAGTAACATTTGGATATCAGATCAAAGACCTTGTACCCTCCTAATAAATCACCAAAAGAGGATAACAAAAACAGGGTTTGTAGATATTTAGACTTAAACGTAAATCTTCTCTTTGTCTCATCAAGTTGACTTCCACAGTGCTCCAGAGTATAATTTACTCTTATCTTGCTGGGAAGTGCAATAACCAGGAGAGCACTCTGAATTTTCAAAAGATATTGTCAACAAAACTTTTTCCTCTCAAATATCATCTGATGCCATTGTAACCTTTAATTTCTATTAATTTTAACCAAGTCTGAATCAAAATTTAGGTTGATCACATTTAAGACCCAACATACCAATGGAAATTAGATGCACAAAAGTTGTTTCACTGGGCTGAAATAAACTCTGACTTCCAAGTTCAACAATTTCCAAATCCTCCAGAGCTGGGCTCCCAAACTCCCATCGAATTATCCCATTTTCCTATCTAAGCAACAACTTGCCCTTAACTGCTTTCTCCACATTCCCACTGTATGACTATAACTCTGATCACATCTCCCTGGTACCATAATCCCAATGGTATGCACGCGTTATTAGAAAGTTTGTATATAATGCACATGTTATGAACAACTCCAAAGCAGTGTTTGAAAACATAAGAAAGCACATTAGAAAGGCTGCATTTTATATTTCACTTGTAACATATATAATGCTGGTGTTTAGTTTTAAATTAGAGAATAAAAAATCTATAGTACAGAATCATAAGACCCAAAGGTAAAACCCGGAGACCTCCCACCCCAGTCTCCCAGGTATCTGGTATCCTCCCAGAAGACAACCACAGTTAGCAATTACTTATTTATCTTTTCAGGGATATGCTATGTATGTTGCAAACAAATGTGTATTGTATTATATATATATATGTATATATATATATATACACACATATGTGGGTACATACATACATCTTTTCATATGTTCCTCTATAAATAGTGGTATGCTATACATATTCTTCTTCACATTCTCATTTATGTCATAGGGTTTTTATTGATATATAAGATCCTGACAACCTAGACCATGTAGTGGTAGCATAACCAATTTCTAGCTAACCTTAGTGAACCATAAAGAAGCATCAAAAAGTGTCATGGTATCACTAGGAAATTCTAAAATCTTTATTTTATTTATTTATTTATTTATTTAATTTTAAAATCTTTATTTTTATCCACGACTGTCAGTTGAGGTCCTATTGTGTACCAAGTACTGTATGAGGCACTTTATTCTTTCATTTAATAAAATAGCCTTGAAGTGAGGTTTCTTAAGTTTGTTACAGTTTTATAGATGAAGAAATTAAAGTTCAGAGAGCTTAACTGGCCTAAAGTCCCAACTAGAAAGTGACAGAGTTGCCTGACTCCAAAGCCCACATACTCTGTAGCACACTAAATGCAGCTCTGATCTTTACAGGTCATTGTTTTTGAAATATAGTACTCTTCTCTATTTTGTATTGGGTCTAATTTGAAGATCCATCATATAGTTTTCTCAACTACAGAAACAGACTTCGCTTTTTCATTTTCTTTCTCATTCTTCTCTACTACTTAAGTTACATGTTGCTACCATTTTGGTACTGCCTTCTAGAATTCTATTCCTATAGCAGTAAAAGTAGAAAACTGTCAGGTAGAGATTTGCATATTTGGCATAATGCAGAATGAGTTACATGACAAAGGCTGACAAAACTTATGACTTAGTATTTTGGAAACAAGATATACATGCTTTAAACTGGAGGGTCTTTTAGCGTTAAACCCAAACATAGTTATATTCACTTGGAAGCACTTAGACAACTCAAGGCTGAAAATCCCATACTGTGCTTGTTGTCAACCCATTGTTTTCCCTCCTGGTAGGCTCTGGAAGTGAATATTCTACCACTTTGTGCAGTTGATGTTGAATGCTATGTCCACTAAACTGGGGTCGTCCAGGGTCACCAATCAGTACTCGAGTTCTGTGGGTCCAAAAGCAATTCTTCAGCCATTGATGAAGACTGTCTGCAAGGTCTTCATCATAAAACATATCTCCAAGCACAACAAGGTCCCACTTTTCTTGTTCCAAATCCAAAATGTTTTTGGTTAAAATGGGAAAAGGGTTCAGTTGGTTCAACTCACAATTCAGTATGATAGCCATTCCTGCAACTTTAAAAAGCACATAATGAATTGGTTTATGCTAGGCAGTTTTAATCCCCTATTGATTAATTTAAGTAATTTAGAAAATCTAACAATATTTTTTCCCTTTTATTGAAAGTTGTTTTTTAGGTAAAGAACATCTACCAACATAAACTATTTACTGCAATTTTCAAATATATGAGTGGATATCCTAAAAACAAAACAAACAGTACAAAACACCTAGAAATGTGGAGGTTTCAAGGAATATTTACTGATCTAATAACCAAGAGGTTTGGTTTATTATAGCTGTCCAGGGAAACAGGTCTTGGACTTGAGCAACCTGAGTCCCCTGTATAAAATAAGGATCTTGGGGCACCGGGATGGCTCAGTCCATTAAGCGTCTGACTCTTGATTTCAGCTCAGGTCATGATCTCAGAGTTGTGAGATCAAGCCCTGCACTAGGCTCACATGCTGGGCGTGGAGCCTGCTTAAGATTCTCTCTCTCCCTCTTCCTCGACCCCTCTCCACCAGATCCTCAGTAAAATTGAAAACTAAAAGAAAATCAGATAAAATTAAAACTGACTTGTCTCAACTTGGGTTTTAATGGAATAAAATCACCCTCAAAACACAAGGCCTATCTTCACTTGGGTTTTGGGTCAAATATATACAACCTACATATTTCAGGAAATCCCTTGCCCAGAAATTAACAGTAAGTGCTCCCAGCTTGGTACACTTTGGGCTATCCGACAGATATAAATACAAATCCTCTTAAGAAATATGCACTTCAATTCAGGACCCACAGGATCTTCACAGATTATGTCCCACTGAACATAAGTTCACAGTATCTGATGACAAAATATGCACGGAAATAAGCTATCATGTTGAGGCATCCATACATATTTATACTGGAAGAAAATAAAGATGAGCTTTAAATATTTTTAAATATGAGATCCTTACTAGGGTCTATGTCGTTGGCCAAGATCCTTGATGCCCCACTCATCTTGGCAGCAATAGCTGAAGCTCCACATCCACTCCCAAGATCTAACACAGACTTTCCTCTAACAACATCAGGATTATCCAAAAGATACCTAATTTGGAAAGAAAGCAAAGAACACTATCTGAGATAGAAGGTCAGCAGGAGGTATTAAAAAAAGAAAATCTTTTCTTTCTTTTTTAAGCTCTATGCCCAACATAGGGGTTGAACTCATGACCCTGAGATCAAAAGTCACAAGCTCTAATGACTGAGCCAACCAGGCAATCCCCCCAAAAATGTCTTTTTAAAATACTGAGCACTTATTATGATCCTGAAACAGTCAAGCACCTACAATATAGACCGACAAAATACTGCTATAATAAGGATTCAGTAAACTAGATTCAAAATTTAAAATTTAAAACTGATTGTCCATCATAGAGTGGTTTTACCTATAGCTTATGTTGAGTTATAATGACCTCTCTGGTAGGTACAAAGTCCAGTTCAATCAATTTGGACTGAGGCTAAACAGTTATCAAACACTGAAGATGGATGAGAAACCCTGAAATAATATATATCAACCAACACTTGACCTTACTACTGAAAAATGAAGAATATCAGGGATTATGGCAAAGTAGGGGTGTACATGGCTGTCTAAATGGAAAGCTGCTACCCATTTTTAGCTCACTGCTGCCATGTAGAAATCCTGTGTTAATCAGATACCTGTTTTTTCAAGATCAGACCTTTTTACATGAAATTTCCCAAGTTTATTTTTATTTCTTATTTTTTTTAAACTTCCCAAGTTTTAAATGTTAGCAACTGATTTTTCATTTTAAGTTTACAAGTAAAGGCCAAACAAAACACATCTGTGGGTGTACCAACTTGTGACCTCTGATTCAGTCTGTTAAGGAATTTGATTGTATTTTTATTTGAAGTTGGCAAACAATCACTTTAATAGACGTCACTGAAAATGTCAATATTTTCAAGGTATGATGTAAGTGAACATAGCTTGAAAATTTGGCAGCAACCAGAAAATCAGAATTGTTTGATAACACCTAGAAAGCTTTCCAATCATCAGGATTCTCTAAACAGCTCTACATATGCATTTATTTATTTTGCATTTAAACTATATACAACATTAATTCTGTTAGGTCATCCCACTCCTGCAAATGATAAGTGCTTATCCATTTAATTTCAGAGGTCAATAGGCTAAAGGTATAAGCAAGTTTAATCATTAAACAATCTAAGAGCAAAAGCCAGACTGAAATGCTAAATGCTCTTGCCTTTGTCTCAGCAGTTGTGTTTTAATAAAAAGCATAGTGTGATGTATGAGAGAATGTCCGAAAGAACATTTCTGCAGTGTGGGGGCTGAGGGGTGGGTGGAAGAGGAGACCTTAACAATGCAGATTCAGGGCACACCTGGCTGGCTCAGTTTGTACAGCATGCAACTCTTGGTCTCCGGGTTGTGAATTCAAGCCCCACGATTGGCATAGAGCTTACTTGAAAAAAAAAAAGAAAATGCAGATTCAAGTCCAGAGTTCAACTGAGATGTCACTAAGTCACTAGAGAAGAGGGAATCCTTGTGGGGCCCACTCACCCAGATCTCTTGTTTTTTGGGTAATTGAAAGAAGTGAGCCTCTAGGGAGGGATGGAGTGTGAGGCTCGAGGAGCAACATTTATGAGATTAAACTAGGAGAGCTGAAGGACTGGGGCTTTAAGAAACTGCACTGGCCATACTTTATGAACCATGAACCAGAGAATAGTGTGAAATTTCCAGATCATTCATAGTATCTAGGGTCTTGACAGCTGATCCTAGGGTTTCTCTTAGAGAGAGAACTATATTTGGGGAAATACATTGATAAGCCTGGAGTATGCTTAAATTGCTCCAAATTAAGAAAATAAGAATTTGGGGGTTTCACTGTTGTTTTTTTTTGTTTGTTTGTTTGTTTGGTTTTGTTTTTGTGAGGAGCAAAGAGAATGCAGAGTTGGAAGGGGCTGAAAAGAGAATCTGAAGAAAACGGGATCTGATTGGGCCTTAAAGCTTCCCATTTCAGATAGGGAAATACCTAGACAGTGCCTGGCCTCCTGGCCAGTAGATTGCCCAGTAAGGCTCGCTGTAGGGCCACAGGTCAGCTTTTTGCCACCAGAACTTGCATCTGGGCGTCAAAAGCCGCAACTGGATTTCAGGGGTGAGGCTGCCACTGCTGGTGACTTCGGTGTTCTCTTCCAGGAAAGCTTTCATCTCGGGGTCCAAAAAGCTTCCAGTTCCTCTCCAAGGGGAATGGCCCCAGGGAAACAAGGAAAGACCATTGCTTCTCACAGCTTTCAGAAAGACACCACAGTGGTTCATATGAAATGGTGCAAATGCTCTCCAAACTAGTCTCGAAGCCATCGTCCTTTTCCAAAACACAGGTTCTGTCAACGTGGCTGTTGATAAGAACTGCTGCTCCTCCTGAGGAAGGAAGGGTCTGGCTGCTACAGTAATCTCAACTGGAATCTGTGGATCTCTAAAAACAGAAATAATACTGAAAATTCCAAGGTTCACTGACACTTCCAAATCCCATTACATAGGAAGAAAATATTACAGTATAAGCTCTGTAGCAGATGATTCACAAGTGCAAGTCCATTTCAGAAGGAAATATTGGTGCATCAACTTAGGAAAATCCAACCTTTTTTTTTTTTTTAAAAGATTTTATTTATTTATTTCACAGACAGAGATCACAAGTAGGCAGAGAGGCAGGCAGAGAGAGAGGGAGAGGGAAGCAGGCTCCCTGCTGAGCTGAGAGCCCGATGCAGGACTCAATCCCAGGACCCCAAGATGATGACCTGAGCCGAATGCAGCAGCTTAACCCACTGAGCCACCCAGGTGCCCCCAAATCGAACCTTCTAAAAGGAAGTATTCTGGGGTGCCTGGGTGGCTCAGTGGGTTAAAGCCTCTGCCTTCAGCTCAGGTCATGATCCCAGGGTCCTGGGATTGAGCCCCGCATCTGGGCTTTCTGCTCAGCAGGGAGCCTGCTTCCCTTCCTCTCTCTCTCTCTCTCTCTCTGCCTGCCTCTCTGTCTACTTGTGATCTCTGTCAAATAAATAAGTAAATAAATAAATTTTTTTAAAAAAATTTTAAAGGAAGTATTTTCACAACAAAGACCTTTTAATAATTTAGAACAATAAACATACAAGCATTTGATTTTGAGAGAAAACCTCTGGAACATGCCAGTTACATAAAATAAGGTTTAAAGTTCTTTCACACACACACAAAATAAAGTTCTTTAACACATTCAATAAATCACTTACTTTTAAGCAGGCACTGTGAGCAAAGTAAGTCTCCATCTTTGGGATGCTTAGATTCTAACGGTGAGGTAGAGCTGTTACCAGGGCAAACATGGTTCTTGGCTTTATGAAGTCTTGCCAAGAGTTGTGGAGGTTACCAAACTATAATTGTGGACAAAGATATACAAATTATACTGAGTACACTCTATTTATATAACGGCTGTTGTAGCATAAAACATCAATGTAATCAAAATTCAGATTTTTTCTTTAAAACTTTATGGACTTAACTGTCATAAAAGAATATCAACTCGCAAATATCCTCCTGTAACTACCTCCGATGACTCAATTTTACCAAGCCTCGGCCGAAAAGGCTTACTCCAATAGAAAAATGCCTTGATAAGAATAAGAAAGAATAAGAAACAGCAGTTTAAACACAAACTACATGCCCAGTTATTTGGGACCTCTGAACTGTTCTGCATAAATGTTTTAAATAGTCCTGTACCCATCTGCCCAAATATTTACAGTAGGCGCCCCAAACTCAAACGCCTACCAAGGGGCCGGACTGGTGACCCTGAGTGGCGCCGCTGGTTATAACAGAGGGGCTGTGGCGACCTGGAGACTGTTTCTGAGCAGTGCAAAGGGGCCAGCAAACTGCTTCCCGGTAAAAGAACACGCTGCTAGATCTTCCAGTTTCTCAAGATAATCCAGGGCTTCACACATAAACCCCCACTTGTAAACAAAAGCGATCAATTAAATTATCAGAACACAGGGCTGGCTAAAACTCCTGCCACGCCACTTGTGTACGAGCTCAGGATAGACCTGCACTGGGTGTCATCGCCCCATCGTGCCCTCCGGATCCCAGGGTCTCTAACCGCCTCTTCTCTCTGGACTAATTCTGTTAGGAAGCGTCGGGTCAGCCCTTGAATCGCAGGAGCCGAGGCTTGTAAACACAGCCCGGCAAACAGGAGGCGATTTTGGTTTGGAACCTCAGGTCGTCTACACCCCCTTCCACCCCAGCACCAATGGAGAATTCTTTGTGCACGTGACTATGCGGGGGACACTATGTACCTGTTATTAATTGTTAAGGAAAGAAGAGGGGTTAAAAAGGGTAAGTTTCCCAAAGTGTTCCTGACGACATTATTTCCCTCCGAGGAGAACGGAACTCGGTCTTAAAGGGGCAGGCACAGTCGTCCTTTTGTCCTTACCAGGCTGGCCTATAACAGTGGCCCAGCGAAGCGCTCGCCTTTGTACGTCTTTCCTGGCATTCTTCAGAATCTTACCTGGTGCGCGGAGATCCCACCAAGCAGACAAGCTGCGCGCGACTCCGGGTGCCGAGCGTGGACCGCGCACCCCGCCCTCCTTCCCCAGCAGCCTCCCTCGGCCTTTTCCTACTTTTCTTAAAGGGGCAGGGCCTTTAGGAGAGGCGGCGCCTGACCTCGCTCTGGAAGCAAGGGACCATCAAACTCTGATTTCTGCGAGATCCAAACTGTGGAGCGTCTGCTTTTGCCAGTCACTAGTTGGAGAGGAAGAATGTTTCTCTTCCCTTCCTCCATCCTTCAAAGCTTCTTCCAGCTGCTCTTAGAATTAAATTGACATGAAACACATCAACAGAAGAAAACCAAATTGGATCTTGGAACTGTGGGAAAAAGGCCAGGTGTAGGAGAGATGCAAAAATAGAAAAATAAAAGGTTTACATGTCACCCTGAACTAAGGAGAAGGGAGTTTGGGACTTAAAAGGGAAGGAAAGTAATGCACAGAAGATGAAAAGGTATTAATGTTTACTGGGCTGCACAGAAACAAGAGGACCGGGAGAGAATTTTAACAACAGACTGCTGAATTCCTCCCTATCACACCTAGTTCATATTATGCTGTAATTATCCATGGAAATAGATTTCTTCTGGACCACATACTCTATTTATATTCTTCAGGTTAAAAAGCTTCCCTCCGGAGGCCTGGCTCCCAAGCCCTCCAATTTGGGGATGCCTGAGCCACACCCCAGGACTCTGCCTGCCACCCAGGAGGAAACCGTGCCTTTTGGAGCTGTGCAAAACCCTCAGAGCTGGAGAAACCTGCATGGACCCCCAAGGCCACCCCCACCTTCAGCACCCACTGCTGCCCACTAACCCAGAGCCTGATGCCCAGCCCCATCTCCTTCCTGGACTCTGCCCCAGGGGAGCTCCCCTCAGCGTGGGTCCGGCAGTAGTCCCAGACTGGTGAAAGACGCACCTAGAGATAAGGCCCTCCAGACACCAGGTGGGTGCACGGCCAGAATCGCTACACAACGCCCGGCCAGCTCCAAACAGCACAGTTTCCTCCTGGGTGCCAGGTGGAATCCTGGGGTATGGCTCTGGGTTCCCCAATCTGGAGGGCTTGGGGGCCAGGCCTCTGAGGACAGAAGCCTGAAAACGCAACCTAGGGTTAGGGTTAGGGCCGAGGGGCATGGCAGGCCTGATCAGGCTGAGCGGGATCGCCTGGGGACTGAGTGGAGGGCCGGGGTCAAAGGGGGCATCAGGCTCTGAGTTTGGAGCCAGGTGGTGCTGGGGAAGGTGGGAGTGGCCTCTGGGAGGAATGCAGGTTTCTCCTGCTCTGAGGGTTCCTCGGAGCTCCAAACGGCTGGTTTGCTCCTGGTGGCAGGTGGACTCCTAAGGTGGGATTCGGGGGTCCCCAATTTGGAGGGCTTGGGGGCCAGATCTCTGGGCACAGAAGCCTCACAACGCAACCATACCGTTAGGATTAGAGCCTAGGGGCATGGCAGGCCCGATCTGCCAGAGCTGAGGTGGCATCCCCAGGGGGCTGAGTAGAGGGCAGGGCTGGCCAGCATTCTGAGGTGATCTGGGCTGGGCGTGCACCTGGTGATTAGAAGGCATTCTCACAGGGTTTCCGAGGGCACCACTGGGGACCTCGGTCTGGGCCCAGGCGGCTCCCCTGAAGGCTCCTGCCATTGGAAGCGACTTTGATGGGGGTTACTGCCCAAGTCTAACGAGCATTCTGCCCAAATTGGTACTGATTTGGGCAGAATGCTCTGGAGAATTGGCTGGTGTTGGTGGCAATTGGGGCCGTGTGTGCACCCTGTGTTGGGAGGGCTTCTAGCCCTTCTAGCTTCTCTCTAGGTGTGTGTTGGGTTAGGGTTAGGCTTAAGGTCAGGTTTCAGGTCAGGATTTAGGGTCATGGTTTAGGGTCAGGGGTTAGGGTCAGGGTTTAGGGATTTGCTAGGGTTAACTTATTTGCCTTTAATACAAGATGTCCATGCTTAAATAAGACATTTTCTTAGAGTATTTTACAGTGAGCAAAGGTTAGCATGTAACCCAAATAGTTACAGAGAAGAACCAAATGTTCCAAAGTAGCACTTAAGACAATTATTTCTTGACAATTATGTTTTATGGTCAATATAATTAAAAATTGAATTCCTCTGTGACTCTTCTCCCAGATGAATTCGTGGGCCCTGTCTTTCTGGTCTTGGCTGAAAAGCATTTTCTCAGTAGACTTCCTTAATGGGCCTCTCTGAATAGAATGGCTCTCGTAGCCCTTAGCCTGCATTACTTCCTATCTTTGTTTTATTGATTATATCCCACAGTCTTTGCAAGCTCCCAGGTGGTATTATATTTGCCCTAAGAAGATACTCCATAAATATTTATTAATTCAACAAGAATGACTTTCTTTTTAATAAAAAATATTCGTGTTTTATCAGTGATTTTTTTTTTAACCACATCAGAATGTATTTGGAGAAAGCTATTGCTCTATGAATATCCATCTGTCAAGGCTGTGGCTTTATTATGTCCTGTCATGCTTCCCTGAGCTAGTCGGAGCGCTCATGACCCATGTTTGAAGCTCAGCCTCAAACCTTGTGGGTGAGTTCTGTGAAGGCTCTGGGGGATATTTGGGGGGCTTGCCCTGCTGGACACCACCATGTCATCTGGGGCCAGATGTTACACGAGCACCCTCTCTTTCCCTAGCTTTTTCCATCTTCCTCTACCCTCTGTCAGCATGTGGGTTTCCCACCAGCCATATCTTTGCAGACAAACTCTGAGATGGCCTATGGCTTGGGACTCCATTGACATCAAAGTCTCATTATAACCAGTGTCAGAGATTTCTGTGGCACTGACATGACCTTTGTTCCCGGAATATGCCCCATGAAGAGTGCCTGAGAGTCAGGGAGTCCAGGAAAGATAAATGGGTGATTGTGGCTCTAGCTAAAGCCACTCTGGGGGATCATGCCGGAGGCCACCTCCCATCTCAGTCTGGCTCTTTTGCTGATTTCCAATATGACCTAGGAGAGTCCCTTCATTGGAGCTTCAGGCTCCTCATTTCTAAAATGAGAAAATGTTTTTAGATTAATTGATTCATTGAAGACTATGGAATGAAATCCTAGGAAGTTCTGGGCAGTCTCCAAGATAGATTCTATCTCAGGAGTTCTGACTCCCATCGTCCCTGCTCCTGTTGATTTCCCTCATTGGACGCAATGGCTATTCCATGGAAATTCCCCAGGGCAACAATGGACTAGCAAGTATCTTCAGGGTATGCCCCCAGGCCATCTGATTTGGCTGAGAGGCCATGAGCAATTCTGAACCCAAACCAAGGTTTTGGCTGTGCTGCCTACTTACACACAAATAGCAGTGCCTGAATCAGGCCTTCACTGCAACAGCTGAGCTGGCTTAGTGAGGGCCTTGTCCAAGACACTAGCCCCATGATACTGTGAGGGCACAGTGAAGTCAGGAAATGCGACGAGGGATTCTACATCAGGGTAGATGATGCAAGGCATCGTTTCACAGCAAACATGACAAAAAACATTTAAATGACAGAATAGTAAGTAGTTAAACATACTCTGTATGATGGCAGTGATGGGAAAAGTGAACGATGGGGTCATAAAGGGGAATGGGAGTTCCTTGAAGCGGGCGGGAGTCGTCGGGGGGGGGGGGGGGGTGTCTCATGGAGGAAGGGACCAGGAGACTTGTCATGGGTTACAATAGTGCCGCATCAGGGTGTGCGCTCTGCCTGACCCATGACCCCCAGGGGCTTTGGGGGCATTCTGGTTCCAGAGGATCTACAGACTGCAAGTTGGCCTGAGCAGAGCCTTCGTG